TCACGCGCAGCCGCCCGAGCCCGGGCCGCGGTCGTTCGGGTCCCACCTCGTGGCCTGGTGCCCGAAGAGCGCCGCCGTCCGCACGCGGTGGGCCCCGCCGGCGCAGGGGGCGGGGACCGGGACGCCGTGCGGGCAGCCCGCGGCGGAGGGGTCCTGAGGGGCAGCGCCCGGGAGGGGCCCCGGCAAGGATTGCGGCTGCCACGGCAATGGACACTCTAACTTGAAGCTCGTGGAGGGGCAGCGAACGCGATTTGTGTTTCTGGGGCGACGGGGGAGAGGGCAATCTGTTGTAGGGCAAGAGCAGGCATGAGCAGCCCAATGGTCGGCAAGAGTAGACCTGAAGTCTGAGCTCTAGCGAAGGGCGGCTGTAAGGATTGCTGTTGACCGATCAAGCGCGCCCGCCGAGCGTACGGGGATCTGGCCCTGGAAACAACGCTGACCCGTCAGCGACCTTCAAACCCTAACAGTCCTATCACTGAATTTAAACACGTGCCTGAAAGATGTCGGGAACAAGTATTCGAAGTATGCGTTACACATGTGTTCCACAAGTCCAAAACACGGTTAGCACATGTTCTAGACACCTGGAAATGATTCGGCAACACGCTGTCTCTCGATGGATCGTCCTCCACGAGGCTAAGAGGGGGGGGGGGGGGGGGAAATGCTTCGGGAGAGCAAGAGAGAGTCACCACCACCGGAACTCGACACAGCTCCGTTCCCAAAGGCCCACCCTCGGGGTGGCACTCCGTTCTGGGCACCCCCCGGGCGCGCGCCCAGAACGGGGGCGCCACCGGCTCGGGAGGCGGGGTGGTGGTGGCTCTGTCTTCACTGGTGACTGCTTCTCCCCCCAGCGAGCACACCCTCCTCCTCCTCGCTCCTCCTCCTCCTCCTCCTCCTCCTCCTCCTCCTCCTCCTCCTCCTCCTCCTCCTCTTCGTCCTCCTCCTCCTCCTCCTCCTCCTCCTCCTCCCCCCGTTTCCACCGCCTCCCGCATGGGGGGTCAGCACTAGGCAAACCGGGAAACACCCGAGAGCGAACCTGCAGTGGGCAGTGGCCAGGCCGACGCGCGAGACCCTGGCTTGCGCGGATCAACTAAGACGGGCGTGACCACGGCAGCGCGGCAAAGCTGTGCTTCGGCGGCGAGCGAGGGGCGGGGAGTGAGAAGGAGAAGGCAGTATCAGAGGGATCGGAAGTCCCGCGCCCCTTCTGAGAATGCTCCAAGCCTTTCCCGAAGACGCGGAACACGTCTCAGAGAAGGCGCGAGGGCTTCTGAGAAGTTCTGCCGCCTTCTGAACAAGCCTGTCGCTTCACTTCCACCCCCCGCTCGCCGCCGAACCCTGCGCGTGAGGCCGAGACACGGAACCCAGATCCCGTGCCCGAGCGCCGCGAGCCAGCATCGGGGCAAACAGCGGGCTGGAATCGGCAACCCATCGCTGATAGATCGGCGATGGGCCCGCGATGGCGGATCCACGCATGTTGCTGGGCGGGACAGGCCATCGGGCCACGTTCGGGGACGAATGGGCGTGCGAGGGTCGATGCATCCCCCCTGAGCCTATCCCCCCCCCCCCCCCTATGGGGGGAACCCAAGAGGTACGGACACCGCTTCTCCCCAGACCTCTCCTGGGGTGCGTTCTGACCAGAATCTCGATGCGAATCCGGCGGTGGCGACGAGGGCCTCCCAGGAGGCCCAAAGAGGCGAGAACAAGGAAAAGGAAGGGGCTCCTCTGACCTGTCGTCGCCCCATCCCTCGGTGCCCCACCTTCCAGCCACCGACTCCTCGAGGGAGGGCCCCCCGAGCGCGTGCGGGTCGAGGCATCCCCCCCTGAGCCTACCCCCCCCCCTGGCGTTGCCCCATGAGGTCAATGAAGGCGCCAAGCTTCGCGCCCTCGCGTCTCGCGCTGCGCGAAGCGCGAACAGCTTCGCGCTCCCGCGCAGCCCCACACGGGAGAAGAGAAGACGAGGAAGGATCGGAGCCGAACCGCGAACCGCGAAGCGCGAAGAACTCCCCGCCCACGAGGGCGCCCCTGCGGTCCACGTACCAGAACGTGGGCCCACCGAGCCAGGTGGTGCCGCCGTCGAAGGAGACGCTCAGCGTGACGGGCCCCGCCGGGTGCGGGGGCGCGGTGCACGACACCTCCGCGGCGACGCCCTGCACCCCGTCCGCCTCCACCTCTGGAGGAAGAACCGCCAGCACAAAGCGGAACAAATACAGTCGACACGCTGTCAGAAGGAACCACCAAATCAGGAACGAAGCCACTTTTGCCATCAGTTGAACTTCGCCTTCCCACAGATAAACCTCGGGACAAACTGAGACAAGCTGTAAAGCAATCAAGGAACACTGAGCCCCTCCCCAACGAAAAGGGTTCCTTCTTCAGCGGCCCGACTGCACCTCAGGATGGGACGCACAGAGACATCCAGCACTGCATGTCCTCCTTGGAGGCGCCGGACCCGAACATACAGTATGCCCATCTTGTAGTACATCGCACGCCACGTGAAGGGTGTGCCGAGATGGGTGCGGAGCCCCCATGCAACATCTGCGGCTGGAGCCTTCTGTGGAGATCTCGACGGGGCCACGATCCTCGTGAGGGGTGTAACGAAATGGGTGCGGAACCCCATGCGACCCCTGCCACTGAAGCCTTTTGTGGAATACCCTACGGGGCCACGATCCTCGTGAGGGGCGTGCCGTATGATCCTTGGGAGAGGCGTGCCCCATTGATGATGAAGGATGATGATGATGATGACGATGATGATGTTGGTGATGGTGGTGATGATGGTGATGGTGATGGTGATGGTGGTGATGATGATGATGCTGCTGATGATGATGGTGGAGATGGTGGTGATGCTAAAGATGGTGATGGGGATGGTGTAGTGGTGATACTGATGATGATGACGACGATGATGATGTAAATGATGGTGATGAGGATGATGAGACTATCGATGATGATGCTGCTGATCATGATGCTGATAACGATGGTGATGCTGCTGTTGATGATGATGGATATGATGATGATTATGATGATGATGATGGTGGTGGTGATGGTTATGATGATGGTGCTGTCGATGATAATGAGGATGGTGATGGCGGTAGTGGTGATGATGATGGTGGTGGTGGTGATTGTGAGGGTGATGGTGGTGGTGATGATGATGATCATGCTGATGCTGATACTGATGGTGATGATGATGATGATGATGAGTAGGTTGTTGATCATGATGATGAGTAGGATAATGACGATGATGATGGTGATGATGATGAGTATGATGATTATGATGATTGATGATGATGATGATGATGATGATGATGATGATGGTGATGATGATGATAATGATGATGATGATGATGATGATGATGATGATGACGATGATGATGCTGATGGGGTGATGGTGGTGATGGTGATGATGCGATGACGAGGTTGAGGCTGATGCTGATGGTGAGGAGGCTGATGCTGCTGATGAGGACTATGACGATGCTGCTGCTGATGAGGATGGTGCTGGTGGTGAGGATGGTGATGAGTGCGGGGACCAGCTGCAGGGAAGAGAAGATGAGGAGGTGGAGGAGGGAGGAGAGACGCGGGGCGCTGTCTCTTCAAAACGAGGACCCAACACCGCAGGATGGCTGAGCAAAACCAGAAGAAGACGAAGCATACGAATGAGAATAAGAAGAATGATAATATGAAAGAACGGCAAAAAAAAGAGGAGCCAAAACCTGCTCAAAGGTAACTGTTCAGAGGTCCACGCGGATCTCTCGGACCGGCGCTGGCGGGCCCCCCCTGGCGAGCCTCCAGCGCCGCCCTTGGCGCACTCCCCGCGCCGGGGAGGGGAGCCTGGCGCCGATCCGAGACGTCCGCGCCGACCTCCGAAAAAATCGATGCTTTTGACGTGTTCTGGAAGATCCCCCAGAGGAGGACCTCACCGCACGGTCCGACATCTCTACCTCCCCATCGCTCGGACGTCCTTTTCCTGTTTTTTTTTTTTCGGTTTCGTGCGTGTTTTTTTCGCCAAATGATCAAGGATGCTCCTGAATCGTCCCCGCCGAGAAAAAGTGCACACGTCCGAGCGATACCAAGCTACTGGGGACCCTGGAGGCCAAGACGCCCTCGGAGAACGGCCCACGCCCCAAGACCGTGCGCGGACCCCGGAACTCCGAGGACTCACCACACGGTAAGCTCGCCGTGCCTTTTCGGGGTCCCGGTAAGTACCAACACCGCGACTCGGAGGCCAAACGCGAACCCTACCCCACCTCCACCCTTCGAAATCGTAGGGTGTTGGAGTAGGCTTCGCATGTGGTCACCGAGCTAGTCCCTGGAGCTCTCCAAGGGTGCGTTTTGACTTCGATGTTGAAGCGAGTCCAGCCGTGGCGTCGAAGGCCCCCCAGGAGGCCCAAACAGGCCAGGTCACGGCGGTACGGGTGCATGTTCCTCCTCTGGAGTTTCATTTGTTGTTCGTCGTCCAGCCCTTTGGCACGCCCGAAAGGGGTACGAAGAAAATGAGTACAGTGCTCAACAGCGAATATTGTCCGACATCGTCAGCGGCCGCTGTTGGGCAGGCGACTGTTTGCTTTGAATGGGCAACTTCCGCGGAGACACCGACAGCGAGTCGTGTTCAAAGTGGGCAGGAACTGCTGTCGGTCTTCGCACCAACTCTTTCCATACCCGATTATCGGCGGCGCGCCTGGGGGCAAGTGTTAAGTCGGGCCTGTCCCCCTACAGGGGGATTTTGGACGAAAGATGAGAGATAGTCAAACACATACCATAAACATATTCAAAAATGGTCTCAAAATCGTCGCCATACTATGTTTTGACTATGTTTGAGTATTCTTCCTGTAGAGGGACAGGCCCGACTTAAGGCAAGTGAGAGGGGCCAGGCCTTCTCAGAAGGTGGCGGCACTTCTGAGAAGCCGGCTCCATCCTCGGAGAAGGCTTCCGGAGCTCCCCAGAAGTCTGGAGGCCTTCTGCGCCTGCTGAGAAGGCCCGCCCCGTCTCACTTCCTTCCTTATGTTGCTCCCGACAACGTAATTCCCTCCCAAAGCTCGACGCCGCTACCCTCCCAACAACGTAAATCCCTCCCAACAACGTAATGTCCCTCCCTCCCAAAAACGTAATTCTGGGGAAACCAAAACGTACCCAGAAGGCTACCGCTACTCCCTGGACCTCTCCAGAACGGCCCTGAGGCACCCCAAGAAGGCCCCAAGACGGCCCAGAGAGGCCTTCACGACGGCTTCCGACGGCGTCAGATAGGACAGGAATGCCCTAAGACAGCCGAAGAAGCCACCGAGAAGCCCCCAAGGCCCCTAAGAGGCCCAAGGAGGCACACAAGATACCTCCAAAAGGCTCCCACGAAGATCTAAGGAGGCCCCATGAGTGCCCCCAGAGGCTCCCAAGATGCCCCCTCCTCCTACTCCTTCTCCTCTGCCTCCACCTCCTCCTCCTCCTTCTCCTCCTCCTTCTCCTCCTCGTGATCTTCCCCGCTTTCCTTCCCCAAGAGATCCCCGAAGAGTTTCTACAAGGGCTGGGGGAACACATTGCCCGATTGCTTGGCAATACTCTTGCCACAACGCTTGGCCACATTGGCGATTCCCAATGGCAGGGGGCGCCGGTGATTCGCCGTAGGCGTCTTCGATAACGCCAAGGTCTCAATTTGCGCTGATGATTCCTATACGTCCCAGCATGATGCTCCATGATACGCCAAGGCAGCGCCGAGACGCACCGACGCGATTCTGATATATCCTATTGTGGTAGAGAGTGGGCCGGCGGCAGGGGGCGAAGCCCTTGCGGATAATTAGTTGCCCCCTCCTTCTCTGACCGGTGGCATCGAAGATGGCGCCGAAGGGGTTCCAAGGCCCCGAAGGGGGCCTCCAAGAGGGCCTCAAGAGAGGCCCAAATGGCCACAAGTCGGGGATGGACAGACCCTCCTTTAGCAAAACGTGGTTTAGTGAAAACGACCTGAGTCCCAAACCTGGCGGGCGCAAGCCTGAAAAATAACGGCCACGGCGCCCTCTCGAAAACCGAAAACGGACAAGTGAGAGGCAAGTGAGAGTGAGAGGGGCCAGGCCTTCTCAGAAGGTGGCGGCACTTCTGAGAAGCCGGCTCCATCCTCGGAGAAGGCTTCCGGAGCTCCCCAGAAGTCTGGAGGCCTTCTGCGCCTGCTGAGAAGGCCCGCCCCGTCTCACCTCCTTCCTTATGTTGCTCCCAACAACGTAATTCCCTCCCAAAGCTCGACGCCGCTACCCTCCCAACAGTGCAACTCCCTCCCAACAACGTAATGTCCCTCCCTCCCAAAAACGTAATTCTGGGGAAACCAAAATGTACCAATACCGCTACTCCCAGGACCTCTCCTGGGGTGCGGTCTGAGCAGAATTTCGAGGCGAACCCAGCGGTGACGACGAGTCTCCCAGGGGGCCCAAAAGGGGGCAAACGGGGGCAGGGTAGAGGTCTAGGCACCTTTTTCGCCTTCGAATTTCAATCGCACTGAACCTTGGCGTCCACGACGACGGTACCGAACCGGCACCTTGTCTGCGGCGACAGGGGGAACCTCTCGCCCAGCAGCTGCACGGAGCGGCCGCCGTCCACGGTGCAGCGGTGCGGGTAGCAGACCTCCCGAGGGCGGAGAGAAACGGCAGGCAGCCCATCGGCCCTCTGAGCTGGGGTGGTTTGGAGCGGTTCCTCTTCCGTCCTCCCCCGTCTTTTCGTCGCCGTCTTCGTCGTCGCCCTCCCTCCTCCTCCTCCTCCTCCTCCTCCTCCTCCTCCTCCTCCCTCCTCCTCCTCCTCCTCCTCCTCCTCCTCCTCCTCCTCCTCGGCAATATTTCCCGCGCACAGGTCATGCTCGGGCGCGTGGTAAAGGGGGGGGGCCCGAATGCGGGGCGACGAGAAAAGGGGCCGCAGAGGGGCCCCCGGGGCCCTTTTTGGAGCCAGCAGGAACCAAAAGAGGGGCCCTCAAGGGCCCCTTTCTTCACCCCCAGTTTGGGTCATACCCCAGTACAGTCCTCGGGAGCGGCCAAGAGGGGGGTGTCCAAGATGGGGGGGTGCAAATCATGACCGGCGGCATGTGCGCGGCCCAGCGGGAGGGCCTGGGACGTAATGAAACAAGAATAGGCGCCACGAGATCTGGGGAGATATCATGACCCCCGCCATGATATCCACCCCCCCCCTAGTCATCACCCTCCTCTATTCCGCCCCCGAACACAGGGACCCAAAATGTGTCCCCGGGCTCCAGCCCAGCCGCCGCGCTCTCGGAAGGCCGCCCGCGTGGACGTGTGCCGGCGCCCTGCCTCGCCTCGCCTCGCCCCGCCGACCCCCCCCCCCTCTACGGGGAGGAATCCGCCCCATCCACAGGAGCACCCCGTTGCCCCGCTGCGCAGGTCAAGTTCCTCGCTCGCTCGCTCTCCCATCCTCGTGAAGGAACCCGCCCCGTCCACAAGAGCACCGTTGCCCCGCTGCGCAGGTCAAGTTCCTCACTCGCTCGCTCTCCCCTCCTCGGGAAGGGAATTCGCCCCATCCACAAGAGCACCTCGCTGCTCCGCTGAGCGCAGGTCAAGCTGGGGCCCATAGCGTCATCTCTCCATGCACTCACCTCTGGAGGGTGTTGCAGGCTCGGACGTTGCCTGACCCCTCCCCTACCCCCCAACCCTGGGTGCGGACAGGAGGCCTCGCGGGGGGGCAGATCGTCCCAGATGGCTCCAGCGGGAAAGCAAAAGTATGGCTTTCCCATGGCTGTGTGCCAAAGGTCGGCCTTCTGTGGGGGGGGGGGGGGGGGGCGAGGCCATTCGGCGCCGCCCCCCTGTTCTACGCGCTCGCCTCCAAGATGACCCCAAGACGAGGAGGAAAAGAGGGGAGGAGAAGGATAGTAGGAGGGAGTCGGTGATAAGGGGGGGGGTTCAGGAGAGGGGGCCCGAAAAGAGCTCCCAAGAGGGCCCTAAGGAGTGCCCCAAGAAGGGCCGCCGAGAGGCCCCCGAGAGCAGGCCCTTGAGGCCCGAGAACGGGCCCCTGCGCTGCCCCCCCCCCAAGAGGCCCCAAGGGACCCCCCAAAGAGGCCCCTGCCTCCCCAAGTGGTTCGCTCTCCTCCTCCTCCTCCTCCTCCTCCTCCTCCCCCTCCTCCTCCTCCTCCTCCTCCTGCTCCTGCTCCTCCTGCTCCTCCTCCTCCTCCTCCTCCTCCTCCTCCTCCTCCTCCGTCCCGCACTCGCTCCATGCTCGCCGATGGGACTGCTGCGGCCGACCTCTCGAGAGCTGTGACGTGCCCCCGCTGGCGCGCGTGATCTCAAGAGGCCCCCCAGGGAGCCGACAAGAGCCCCCCCGAGATCTGCGAATGATTCAAGGCCCCGTAGACCCGGACACGCTAGACCCGGACACCCAACATCCCTCGAAACCAACTTTTCCAAACGGCGGCACGAACAAAATACTGCACTGCAGTACTTCCAGGACGAACCCGGACACAGGCCCCAAAAGCCTGCAAGAACCCCCCCAAACCCGGACACAACTCCGAATCCTGCAAAGCAGCAAACAAAACATGCACGGGTGCTGAAAAGCGTGACCTTGCAGGAAAGGATGTCGTTTCCTTGGTTCTCCGTGTCCTGGTTTATCCGTGTCCTGGTCTCCGGGGGCCTGAGCGATGCCGCGCGCCCCTGCTCTGGGCAGCTCCGCTGGGCGTCGTGTCTGGACGAGCTGGCGACGCCGCTCGCTCCAGGTCGTTCGTCGGTGCTGCGCCGAACGCCAGTCGACCGCACGTCGACCTCGAGTCGAACTGGAGTGCGGGGGAACAACAAAAACGAGATCCCGTACTGCCCAGACCTCTCCATGGGCACGTTGTGACCGGAGAATGAGGCGAATGCAGCCGCGGCCACGGGAAAAGTAGCGGCATCTGTACGTTGTCTTCCTCTGAGAGTCGGACCAAAATCGGACCAGAGTCGAACAGATCCGCTAGGTGGGCTCCAGGGTCGTCCCCAAAACGAGGGCTTGGCATAAACATACGATGCGGGACCTGCGCGCGAATTGTTTTAGAAACCGGCTAAATGGGGTCCGAATAGATAGGATCGGAGGGTTGCACCGCGTCGCCGATGTTATCGGCGATGCATCGACGATGCCTCGGCGACGTCGGTATAGAAAAACCGGGCTCCTCATCGATCCGCATCGCCATCGGCGGTGCTGCGAAATTCCCCGACCCCACCTACTCCGACCCTTTTGGGAAACCTGGATTATTGGAGTCGGCGCTGGACACCTCCCTCCCCCGCAGGGTGCGGTGCGCGGCGCCGCCTGGGGACGTCGTCGTGGTGGTTGTGAACGCGGCTGTGATCGTCGTGGTCGTCATCGTCGCCGTTTTCGTGGTCGTCGTCGTGGTCGTGGTCGTGGTTATCATCGTCTTGGCCGTCGTCGTGGCCATTGTCGTTGTTGTCGAGCAAAACCGAAAAGTCTGAGAAACTGCTCGTGTGCCAATCTTCTTCTCCGAACAAGCTTTCTTTTAGTCCGACCACGAAATGCTAGAACCCAAACATGACCTAATAAGAAAAACGATGTTCTTAGAGCATAAAAACGATGTGTTAAAACAAAACCGCTCCAGCCAGAAATGTTCGAATAACATTTCTTGGAGACCACCAACGGTTATCATAACATTGTCTGGTAGGGCTATACGCGAGCCTTATGTTGTTCCCATCCGACTTAAAGACCACATCCCAGAAATAATTTCGAACACCCGGAAAAAAGTCAATTGAGTACGAAACAGTGTCGAAATAGTGTCGAGCGACTGCCCCCCAAGGCCCGACACGTGAAAACCATTGAATGTCGGAACTTTTCTGGCGCTCGGAATTATTTCCGGTAATCAAGGGTAAAGCAGGCTGTCGCATCAGAGCGCGAACAAGGACGTTTCGCCGCTGCTTGAAAAAAAGGGCAAGACCGCTCAACATCGATCGATGAACCGAATCGGATCGAAGTGTGCATCGGATCGGGCCGCGTCGGCACGGCTTCGAGGTCGAAGCGGACCGGCTGCGCCAAGAAGCGCAAGAGCGCCACGCGAACATCGGGACGCATCGGATTGTCCGAAAATCAAAATCGAAGTGGATCGGGCCGGCCGGAGCCGATGTCGAATCGGATCGATGGGATCGAAATGGGCCCTGGGAGGAGGCAGGAAGAGGCCACGATATTCCCCACCCCCCCTGTGATGTTGGGTCGTCGTTCTGAACAGGCGGCGCCCCGTGTTCTTCTCCCGCCTCTTTCCTCCGCCCCTTCCGTGTTTTTTCCTCCATCCTTCATGCTCGTCCGCATCATCACCATCACCATCACTCCACCTGAAGCCCCTGTGGCGACGTTCCCTACATGCGGCGCCGCAGCCCATGTCGGCACACCCCTCACACCGGTCGTGGCCTCGCAGGGGCCTCCATCTGAGGCTCTAGCGGCGATGTTCTCATGCGTCTCCGCCACCAGTGTCGGCACACCCCTCACACGGTTTGTGGTCCCGCAGAGAGCTCCACCTGAAGCCTGTGGTCCCGCAGAGAGCTCCACCTGAAGCCCCAGTGGCGACATTCCCATGCGTCCCCGCCACATATTTCGGCATACCCCTTCACACTTTTCGTGGCCCCATGGGGAACTCCACCGAAGGCCCCAAATGCAACGTCCCCATGCGCCCCCGCCGCCCATTTTCGGCAAGCCCTCCACACGGCCTGTTGCCCCATAGGGAGCTCCACCGAAGGCCCCAACGGCGACGTTCCGGTGCGTCCCCGCCACCCATTTTGGCACACACCTCGCACGGTCCGTGGCCCCACACGGAGCTCCCCCTAAGGGCCCCGGCGGCGACGTTCCCATGCGTCTCCGCCGCCCGTTTCGGCACACCCCTCACACGGTTCGTGGCCCCACAGAGATCCCCAGCTGAGGCCCCAGTGGCGACCGTTTCGGCACACCCCTCATGCGGTTCGCGGCCCCATGGGGGGCTCCACCGAAGGCTCCAGCGGCGACGGTCCGATGCGCCCCCACCACCATTTTCGGCACGCCCCCCACACGCTTGCGGCACTCACATCTGCGAGCGGCGAACGGTTGGATCCTTCGGCAGGCCCGTAAAAACACAGCGAGCCCCAGGAGGGGCACTTCAATCGAAACAGGCATACATTATTGGAGAGGGGGATCAGTTAAAATTCTTCAGTCGTCAAAGTCCACCAACCACAGCAGCAGCAACAACAACAATAATTTCAAGACTGCTCGCTCCTATTTGCTCACGTGCCAAAGCCAACTCAAGTCACCCCGCTCGCACGAGAGCTGGCCCGTGTAGGGCGCGCGGGAAAAAATAACATGTCAGTCACCGTTCGGGCGGGCGCGCACGGGAAGCAAGATGCCTGCTCACATGCGGAAGTCCAGAAAGCCTTCTGTCATGTCCACCCACGCGGCGTAATCTCGTGCAGCGTCATTGCCACGACCCGACGGTCGCTCGCCTGGCAAAACGAAGAGAGCCTCGAGTTCCAAGACACGACAAGACGACCTCGTGAGCGTGTCCCACACAGTGTCCACTGCAAGGCTCTCTGCGCGCACCGCCCTGGGGGGGCAAACTCGCAACATATGCTGTCATTTCCCAGCACGCGTTCATGGAATATCTCGACCAGGTCTGGATATCATTTTCCATCGTTGCTTGACTGAACCTTCTCATGCCAAAAATGTAAGACATCGTGCCAAGGTCGAAACCAATCCAAACAAGTTCTCGGGCCAACGACTTGCAGCATCAGTCGCCGGAAAGCAACATCGATGTTGTGCAGTGAGCCGCTGTACGGCTTCCAGACGCCAGGTCCGAAACATGCCAGTGACGTTACGACGCGAACGCGCCAATCAGAAGGTAGATCCCGAACCCTCGGTACCCGCCCTCGTCGTCTTTGATTGTACCCCCTTGTGGGTAGACCTCCCTTACCTGCCACGTGCATTTAGTGCAGCCTCCAATATAAGGGAAGAGAAGACGGGTGGAAGGGGGAGGGAGAAGAGCACGAGAGAAAATAACAGAAGAGGAACAAGGAGCAGAAAACAAGTGGTAGAACCAGACGGGCAGATCGGGTGGGCAGACCCATAGCGGGCAGGTCGGGAAGGCGGGCCCAGGCGACCAGGTCGAGCAAGCAGGTTGTTGAAACGTGGTCCTGCATGTATCGAGAGGAAGTCTCGAGCGATACTGCGGTTCCCAGGTAAATCGCGAGAAAAGCCAAAGCGAGAGCGTGATTCATGAGCGCCGAGGGCGCATCGTCTGAATCAACTGCGTGGACGTCCCACGCGAGAGCGCGATTCCTATACAAATTGTGAGGAAGTCCCGCGCGAGAACGCGATTTGGGAATTAACTGCGAGGAAGCATCCGGCGGGAGCCGCTGTCGTTATTAACCTGGGGCCAACAACACAGTTTGAGCCCGTGATTCCCCCTGATAAAAAAGTGCGAGCCCGGGGGGAAGCACCTCAACTGAAAAAGTGCAATGGCCACCGGAAGGGGGGAATCAACAATCATGCATCAGCATCAGCACCAGCACCAACAACAACGACAGCAACACAATCATCTACAACAACAACAACAACAACAACAACAACAACAACAACAACAACAATCATTTTACCCGAACGCTCAGTGTTCTCACCAGTGCCAGGGTTTTCATGCGACGCGAGACAATACCCCCACTTCGTGGGGGGGCAGTTCAAGCTCTACCAAATATCCAAACGACTCTTCGCGACCACCCAAACCCAGCTTCCCGCCCTATGACGTTGGGACACTTCACTTCGTGGCGTGCGGACGACCGTGGCTACTACACTGGCGTGGGGTACACACCCACAGAACTTGGTCACTTATTCGGGGCGCGCGTGTGCCCAGCATCCTGCAATTGTGACATACAATACATGACACAGACAGACAGAGAGAGAGACAGAGAGCAGACAGAGAGAGAGACAGAGAGAGCGGAGTTGGTCACATTTTTGGGGCAAGTTCCTGAGATCGTCGTGTTTGTTGTTGGTCTTGCGCGCGCGAATGTCCACTTTACTTTTTTTTGCAAGGGAGTATTGAAATTTGATTATGTTAGAACAAGAAAAAGTAGCTCGCGCGAGCTCATGTAACATAAATGTTGAAAAACCATTGGTTTTGTGGGAGTCGGACAGCGCGCGCGGGATGAAATTTGGACATTTTTTTTTGAAAAACCATTGGGTTTTTGATGTTTTTATGTTGAAATCGCTACGAAACCTAAGGTTCTGGAAGGATTTCGTCTTGCGCGCGCGAATGTCCACTTTACCTTATTTTTTGCAAGGGATTATTGAAATTTGATTATGTTAGAACAAGAAAAAGTAGCTCGCGCGAGCTCATGTAACATAAATGTTGAAAAACCATTGGTTTTGTGGGATTCGGACAGCGCGCGCGGAAGGACATTTTGACAATTGTTTCTTAAAAAACCATTGGGTTTTTGATGTTTTTATGTTAAAATCGTTACGAAACCTAAGGTTTTGGAAGGATTTCGTCTTGCGCGCACGAATGTCCACTTTACCTTATTTTTTGCAAGGGATTCTTGAAATTTGATCAAGTAAGAACAAGAATTTTCATTTTCTATTGTTTTTTGCAAGGGAAAACGAGCGTCAACAAAAAACCGGATCCGGAGCTCATCCACTTTTCTGAAGCTTTCGCGAAAAAATGATGAAAATGTAGCTGCGGCCTAGGCGCGGCGCAGAGGTCGCGCACCAGGGGTCCCAACAATAATAATTCTTTAGAAAGGAATAATGTTCAACAACAACAACAATTACTAGCACGTGGGGACACTCCGTTCTCACCAGTGCCAGGGTTTTCATAGGAGGCGGGCAATACCCCCACTTTGTGGGGGGGCCGGTTCAAGCTCTACCAAATTTCCAAACGACTCTTCGCCACCACCCACACCCAGCTTCCCGCCCTATGACGTTCGGACACTTCACTTCGTGGCATGCGGACGACCGTGGCTACTATTCAGGGCCCCGCGGCCGACGACGACGGCGTGCGCGCGCGAAGAAAAAACGAATGTGTCCCGCATGGTATTATTTGACAGGGATGATGGCCCTGGCAGGTGCGCAACCGTTGTCGCAGAAGTTCGAAAAAGTTGCTCGCAAAAGCCCGTTTGACAGAAATGTTTAAAAAGTGTTGGGTTTCCTACGAATCCGCAAGAGCGCGCGGGATGAGATTTTGACAATTTTTTGTTGAAAAACCATTGGTTTTTTGATGTTTTTATGTTAAAATCGCTGCGAACACTAAGGTTTTGGAAGGATTTCGTCTTGCGCGCGCGAATGTCCACTTTACCTTATTTTTTGCAAGGGATTCTTGAAATTTGATTATATTAGAACAAGAAATGTCATTTTCTATTGTTTTTTGCAAGGGAAAGCGGATTACAACAAAACAACCGGATCCTGTACACACCCTCTTTTCTGAGGCTTCCTCACGAAAATGATGAAAATGTAGCTGCGGCCTAGGCGGCGCAGGGGGGGCGCGCACCAGGGGGCCCAACAATAATTATTCTTTAGAATAAATAATGTTCAAGTCTGCCCGAATGAAACAAAAACTCAGATCGTCGGAGCGAGAGCATCCTGATTGTAGCTCGGTGGTATGCGTCCTGACAACGTGGACGACCAGAGGTCTAGACCACTTCCCCAGGGCACGCGTTTCAACCCGAACCGTTTCTTCGACTGCCCCGGCGCTACGCGAGGGCCACGAGGGGCCGAAAACGGCGAAAAACGTACGAGCGCATGCCTACGCCTACCATTGACAAGGCAAAAGGCGATGACAATCGCAGGGTTGCGCGCTCAGAAACTGAGGGAATCCTTGCAATCTGCATCGAGAGAAGGGGATGGGGATATGTTTCAAGCGAGCTAAGAGCCGCGCTCTGACGGCGCATCGGCAAGAAACGTGCACATGCATACGCGGAAAATGTCACTGAGCCTAGGCCGGCCACCATTTGCAAGCTCTGCTCAAATGGCGCGCGAGGGTGACCATCAACCCTCCGCCTCGAGAGGGAGGAGGGGGAGGCGGGGAGGGGAGGAGGGGGAGGCGGGGAGGGGCGAAGGGAGATGTTTCAGGCTGGTAGCGATGCCCGTCGGTCGGAAGAGGTGGGTAGAAGCATGAACTAGGAAGGCGTTTGAAGTAGATTGGGCTTCCGCCCGCCCCCTGAAGAGGAGGGAAGAAGGAAAACCACTCGATCATTGAAGTAGGAAGGCGCCTGAAATAGATTGGTATCTGGGAATCCAGAAATACAGTGGGTCCGGGTATCATGAGGATGTGCGATAAGGCTGCACGGACCTTGCAAGCCCATGTCGAAACTTTTCGGGCGGGCAGCGGCCAGCGAAAGTGGCCAAGGATCGACCGAGGAGGCAAGCACGCGAGTGTACCCTTGGGAAGGGTGCCCATCATGACTATGCGGGTTGGCCGTAGTTATAGGTCGAGCATGTCCTCCTATAGGCGGATTTGGGAAGAAAACCGAACAGTAGCAACAAAAAACATAATCCAAATAATCCAAACATGCAACAAACATCGTCCCCTTACTTGTGTTACTAGTTTCGAATACTCCTCCTGTAAAGGGACATGCCCGACTTAACTACAGCTGGGTGAAGACCCGGAGGAGCAGCTCCGTGCTGCCCTGCCCCCGCCCCCGCGGACCAGCGGCTGCCCGCCGCTTGCCGCGCTCGGCGCGGACAGCACGCAGTGCACGGCGGCGCCGGCCGCGAGCCCAAGGTCGGCGAGGCTGCGCTCCTCATCCTCCTCGGCAGGGCAAACAGTCAAGACGCTAAAGTGTCAACGGTTTCTTATTCGGCGTCTCCACATGGAGCGAAAGGGGGAGGGGGGGGGGTCTGGCTCTGGACCTCTGCGAAATGCGACTGTTTGCAACCGTGCGTCCCTTGGGGAAGACCCCCCCTGCGTGAAACAGGCTCCCATACTCCACGGGAGGGGGGGAGGGGGGGTGCGAGGGCCCGCGCCGATCGGCAAAACAATCAATGAAAGACGATCACAAGACGCTGGAATAAACAGTTTGGATGGGGAAGGTGGTCGATAGTCCTGAGGTTCCTCTGTTGCTGTTCCTCTTGCCCTCCTGGGGCACGAGGGCGCTGTTAGGGTCAAGAAGAGGCTTCGTTCCTATTCGCGCCCCTTCTTTCAGCGGCCCGACTTAATCGGTCGGCTGCGCAAGAGCCCACCTCCCTCCCGTCCGAAACGACGCCAGGGCGAGGAGCCCCCAAGAGGCTCCCACGAGGCTACAAGAAGCCCCCCCCCCAGATGCCCTCAAAGGCCATCCAAGAGGCCCCCGAGAAGCACCCTGAGAGCCCCTCACATGCATCCAAGAGTCTTCTGACCTAAGATACAGCCGGGGCCTTAAAGAAGGAACCCTTTTCGTTGGGAAGGGGCTCCACGTTCCTTAAGTGTTTCACAGCTTGCCTCAGGCTTTCCTGATGTTTTCGACAGGGAATCGAATGTTAACTTATGGAAAAAAAAGGGGCCTCGTTCCTTATTTAGGATTCCTTAGGTCAACGCCCCGACTGTAGAACTTCCACGGTCGTCTCAAACTCGCCCTCCTTGTGGGGGTCGGCGGAATGCCTCATGCCACTGGAAGAAATCGAGAATCTCTGAGATCCCCCGGCTTCTGGAAGACGCCTCGGGCGCTGCGGCCTTCCTCGGGAACGCTCTGGGAGCGTTCCGGCACGCCCTCTGGAACGGATTCGTCCTCGTCCGGTGGGCCCATGCGACCGCCCTCCCTCCCCCACCTGACTACCTGCCAGACTACCCCAACCCAACCCGAAGATCCGAATTTCGGGATGGGGGGGGTATAGGCTCCACTTGGGTTTTTCCAGTGTTCCCCGACACCCCCTCCATTGGAAACGGCGGGCAAATCGGGGCCTTCGGGTTGGGTTGGGTTGGTGCTTGGTGGGCGGTGACCACTCCCCTCCGCCTCCCCGGATCATCGGCGATGTGGTGCGTTCAGTTCGGGCGTGCAGTCGGGGCGTTGACCTAAGGAAACCTAAATAAGGAACGAAGCCCCTTTTTTCATAAGTTCACCTTCGACTTGCAACCAAACACTTCAGGAAAACATTGGGCAAGGTGTGGAACAATTAAGGAACACCGAGCCCCTCCCCAACGAAAAGGGTTCCTTCTTCAAGACCCCTACTGTGTTTCCTCCGTGTCGGCTTCCAGGGCACACTGTCGGACCCATGCAAAGGCCGTCAAGGCTGGGTCCAGGACGAAAGACTACCCTAGACTACCCTAGAGGAAGCTGCCGGGGCCGCCGGGGCGGCGGATTGAAAAAACACATCGACGGATGTAAGGGTCCTCTGATTGCTCTCCCCCTCCCCAAGAGAGAGGGGGGGGGAGACGGGGAAGCGAAGTGGGCCTCCTCCGGGAATCCAGCAGCCTTCAGGAACCGATCAGCTATCCGGGCCCTCGTCCTTCGTCCTCCCTCCCCACTCCTCCTCCAACTCCTCCTCCTCGTCCTCCTCCTCCTCCTCCTCCTCCTCCTCCCCCTCCTCCTCCTCCTCCTCCTCCTCCTCCTCTGAATGGTTTCATCCTGGATGAGAGGGGAGTGAGGAGCGAGCTCTTGGGAGGTCTTCGTGGGAACGACTAGGGGCTATGGTACACCCAACTGATGGGTCACTAAGCGGGATCAGCCTCCAAAGTAAACTAGGGATCAAGCAGGGTTGCGCAAGATTTACCCGGATGAGCGCAGGATCAGGCTGGTCTTCGGCCACGGATATACCCGCGCCGATGCGGAACGCAACATCCGCAGACTTGCACCCGAAGCGGGAAAGAGAGCAGTGGACCTGTATACGGCAGGTTCGTGTCGCGAGGACTTGCGCGCTGGTGTCTAACACCGCATAAACCATGGCCAAGAATAGACAACATGCCCTATCCCATCTCAAAACCGCGGATCCACCGAGGACCCGAAGATCGGCCAAAGCTTCCAGGGGGTATGGTCTGCGCTCGTCGTTGTGAGGGGAACAAAAAGTGGCATAAGCATAAAAACTCGGAGGTCCGCGCGGATTTCTCGGATCGGCGCTGGGGCCCCCCGGCGGCGCCTCCGACTCCGCCCCTGGCGCGCTCCGCGCGCCAGGGAGGGGGGCCCAGCGCCGATCGCAGAAATCCGCGCGGACCTCCGAGTTTTTATGTTTATGCCACTTGTTGTTCCCTAGTTTGACTACCTACAAGACCACCCCAACCCAACCCGAAGACCCGAACTTGACCCGAATTTCGGGTTAGGGGGGGTACGGATTCCTTGTGTTTTTTCAGTGTTCCCCGACCCCCTCCCCCACTGGAAATGGAGGGCAAATTTGGGCCTTCGGGTTGGGTTGGGGTGGTTTGGTGGGTGGTGACTAGTTGTCCCCCTGGTACAAGCCTGCCCCGAAATCTCACTCCCCGAAGTCTCGAGGGGCCTGCCGCCGGTTCTGGCCCTCGCGCTCTCGGGGCTGGGCGTCTGTTTTAAGTTGGTTGAAGGGGCCCTGGGACACACAAATAAATACACGCAAATAAAACTATTCCCCATATTTTCCTATATTTTTGGAGTTTTTGTCTTCCCCCCCACCTCCCATATTTCCCCACATGTTCCTGGGAGTCGACGATGAATTGTGTCTGTGTTTTTCCCCTCCTGATTTAAATTGGTGGCGATCGGCGGCCTCCGGGCCACTGTGGCGTCCCACGTGGAGCGCCCCTGCTGGGGCTGCAGCCGCAAAAATATGCTGCAGCTTCTGCTCACCAGCCTCGAACGTGTCCCTTCCCTAAGGTTGGCACGCTAGAAGGAGATGACAATCTTAGGGAGACACCCTCAGAGACTGAGGGAATCCCTAAGATCGCCATCGTGATGAGGCGATGCCCAACATAGGGATAGGGATGTGTTCCAGGCTGGTAGTTCTGCTGCGGCATTACCCGCGTCGATCCGCGTCGACTCCGCGTCGAGTCCACGTCGAACGTCGAAGCTATGGCGAGCCCGCGTCGACTTCGCGTCGACTGCGCGTGAAATCTGCGTCGAATCTGCACCGCGCCCAGGAGCACGCGTCGGACGCAAGGAAAAACAACGACGGCCGTTTACAGGACAGACCAGGTCCTCCGAAAATGTGGCGTACAGTGCGGACGCGGCCGCAAGAAGCCCTCGCACGAAACTGAACCCTGCAAATCCGCGCGCGCGATGCAAGTGGGAAGGGACCCCAGGGCACCCTGAACGCAGCAACCCCTCGACGCGGGCGGGGAGTCGCTGCGCAGCGCGCGCCACTATGAATAGGCGATTCGGGGTCGATGCGTCCCTCGGGTCGGGCGAAAGGGGGGGATAGCAAAAAGGGGGTTTGAGAATCAGCTCACTTAGCTGATTTTCCTGGCGCCTCCCGGCGCCGGAGGCTGCCATGTATCGAGGAATGGGCCCCTCGGTGGGGCCGAAACCAGCTGCATCAGTCGTACCCCCCCCCTTTCCCAATCCGCCCCTTTCGCCCGGCCCGAGTCCCCCCCTTGGCCTATCCCGGATTATCCACTCCAACGACCTCCCCTTGTTTTCGGGTCACAGCTGGGCTCTCCGGCGGCCCTTCGGGACGATCTGGGCAGCCCTGGGACGCGAACGGCAAGGCGCAGCCGCTGAGGAGCACCCCGAGACTACACCGAGGCAGGCGTCTGTGCTTTTTCGGGCGTCTGCGAGCTGGCACCCTGCGGGGCAGCGGAACGCGCTCGGCGAGATGGACGGGCGCCCCACTGCAGCCGCAGGCCGTCCGCCCCCGACTCTTGGCGGCGCGCACAAGGGGGGCAGGGGGAGGGGGGAGGGCTTCTTAGGAGGAGGCTGCCTCTCAGAAGGTGCCAGCCTTGCATCTACACCCTGCGAAATGCCTTAGAAATCTTGGGTTCAGAAAATCATAGTCTCAGAATTTGAATAAAAACCCAGAGTGTCGAGTCAAATCTTAGGATTTACATTGAAACATTAAGAATAATCGAGACTCTGGCCGAAAACTTGGGTTTTCTTAAGCATCGCCTGGAGTGTATAGAGAAGGCCCGCGCCTTCTGAGAAGCGGGGGTGCTTCTGAGAAGCCCTCCCCCTCTCTGCGCGCGGCCGAGAGACTCCTCGCCGAGCAGCCGACCGCCGAGGACCAGCCGCAGCTCCGGGGGCTCCCGGGCCGGGCTCCCGCACCGGGGCGCGGCGCGGGCGGCGGGGGAGGCGGGCCGCCGGTCCTCGCGGGGCCTACCAGCCTGGAACAGATCCCTATCCCTATGCTGGGCATCTCCTCCTCACGATGCCAATCTCAGGGGTTCCCTCATCTTTTGAGGGCGCATCCCTGAGATTGTCATCGTTTTGTTTGGCAAGTCGATCTTAGGGATAGGGATATGTTCGAGGCTGGTAAGGGGCGGGCGAAGGCATGGCACGGCCGCCGCCGAGCGCGAGGGGCCCGCTGCTGCCGGCGCGGTGGAGCCAGCCACGGAGAGCAGGCGCTCTTCGGGCTTCCTCGCCGGGCTGCCTGGCACAGTCGGCCGAGGACAGACTTCTCGAATCGAGTTCGAGGGCGAGCGGAGGAAGAGGAGGAGGAGGAGGAGGAGGAGGAGGACGAAGGAGAACAAGAAGAAGAGGAAGACTGAGAAGCATAAGAAGAATAATAAGAAGAAGATGAAGCAGAAGAAGAAGAAGCTAACGGAGCAGAAGAAACGAGAGAGCATGGATAGGAAGACGTAGGCTGATGGAGCCGAAGCAACGAGAGAGCATGGATAGGAAGACGCTGACGAACTGAAAGGAGCAACGGCATTGACGTGTACACGTCGGTCGGAAACAAAGTAGGTCGAAACATGAAGCAGGAAGGCGGATGTAGTATTGGATTGGGTCCAGGTCCTCCCAGACAATAACAAAACACAGCAAAAGCACGCCGACTCTTGCAGTGGAAAGGCGCTTGAAGTAGATTGGGACCTGGGAATCCAAAAATACACCTACTTTCAACGACTGGCGTGTACTGCCTGGGGTCAGCGCAGATTTCTCGGGCCCGCCGCTCCATGGCGCGCTCGGGCACAGGGGCGGGGCGGAAGGCGCCACCACGGGGACTCCAGCGCCGATCCAGGGAATCCACGCGGACCTGCGAGGAGGAATACGAGGATCGGAAGCCGGGCAAGGGCTGCTAAATCCGGGGCTGCTAAAATCGACCTCCGGGAAGATGTCTCCGTCCTTCCGGGAAGAAGCCCGCTGACTGAAACGTTTCGCGTGCCGCGCCTCATTCCGGGAAGTTGTTTTTCCTTCCGGGAGGGCCGCTTTAGCAGCCACGGCTTTAGCAGCCATCGCCCGGCTTTCGAAAGGAAGATGAAGAGGTAGAGAAAGAGACAAAGAGAGGGACCAAACAAGCAAGCAAGAGACTGTGTGCACCAAAGGGCACAGAAGTATGGGAAAAGTTGGCCGCCACTGTGGCAGTACTCCTTCACAACGGCTTCCCACTCACTCTGCGGCCTGTAGCTCAACAATGAATTCAACCTCTCTGCGCCACCAGCAGCTGCCAGTGCGTGCAGGGACCAAACAAACAAAAAAAACAATCATCGTTTTGAGACTCTCGCTCCCATCTAAGCGCGTGCGAGTCAACATCCATATGCAACACCCTCGATACCAGCGATCTGCGTCTGCGGCCGTACCCCTCCTGGAGGTAGATCTTCTTTCCCTGCCGCGTGCAGGTGACGCAGCCCCTCGACCAGGAAGAGGTTGGCGAAAGGAAAAAACATATACTGAGCAGGGAACGACCGTCCCAACATTCCTGTAGGACTACCACGCAATTGTCGTAGAACCCAAACATGTTCCAAGAGCAGAAACAATGTTCTTAGAACAGTATTACACCAAAAAACAGGATCGGTCAGAACTGTCCCAAGAACATTTCGCGCAAACCACAAAGGGTTCTTAGACCATCCTTTGGTGGACCCATAGGCAAGCCAGAACGCCTCGCCACTGCTCGATTATGGCGAGGAGGGAAGGATTGCAGGAACGGAGTGAGGAGGGAAGGGGCAAGAGGGAGGGAAGAGGATAGAGCTCGAGTGATTAGCAGGAGGGGGGTTAAGAGCAGGAAGACAAGCGGCAGGGTCGGGCGGGCCGGTCGGGAACGCGGGCCCAGACGGCCAGGTCGAGCGGTTTGGTCGCTGAAGCGTCACCCCTGCATGAATCGCGAGAATGTCTCGAGCGATAGCGCGAGTCCCAAGTGCATTTCGTCAGAAAGTCCAAAGCGAGAGCGTGATTCCTGAGTGCCCAGGGCGCGGCGCCTGAATATTTAATTATCAATTGCGAGGACGTCCCACGCGAGGGCGCGATCCCGCGGCCAAATGCAAGGTCCTGAGCGAGAGCGCTTCTCTTCAACAGATTGTGGGAGTATCAGGCGGGAACCGTTGTTGGTGGTGGTGATGCTGCCATTGTTGTTGCTGTTGCTGCTATTGTATTGTTGTTGCTGGCTGTGGCGTTGGTGTCGTTGGTGCTGTTGTTGCTGGTGCTGTTGGTGTGTTTGTTGGTGTTATTGCTGGTGTGTGGTAGGTCTTGGTGTTGATAGTGATGTTGTTGTTGGTGGTGTTATTGTTGCTGCTCTTGTTGTAAGTGTTGTGGTTGTCGTTGTCGTTGTCGTTGTCGCTGTCGTTGCTGATTTGGTTACTACTAATGGTGTTGTAGTTGTTGATGTTGATGTAAGCCAGAGGCCAGGGGTCCAGTCTGACGTGCAAGACCTTCCCTGAATTTAAAAAAACGGGGTGCGCGCCCCGAGGTGGCACCTCAATTGAAGAAACTACACACTTGTTACCAGAGCCGGAACCAACAACAATGATGATATAGAAGTGAACTCAACAACAACACATGTGCACGTCAGAGCTGCACTGGCAAGATGGTGAAACAAGCCGCTGTGCCACAGTTATGCGGCTCTGCTGTGGACTACGGGTGAGACTACTGAAATGAGTACTCTTACTTAGGGCCCCTGATCTCGAAACAAGCCTGAAAGCACCCACACAGACAAGGCACAGACCAAGGGCGAGGGGCACGGGGGGAAGGGGACGGGGACGAGACAATCAAAACACACATAGAGCCATACCTGAGAAACACACTCATAAGAAATGCATGGCAAGTGTGTGGCAAATTCCTAGCATCGGCGCAAGTCCCCCCCCCTTCCCTGGCGGGCTGGCGCGCAGAGCGTGCTGGGGGCAGCGCCGGAGGCGCCGCCGAGGGGACCCAGAGCCGATCCAAGAAATCTGTATGGACCTCCGACCCGTCTGTGCCGTGTCCTCCTCTTGTCCTCTTCGGCCAGGTGTGGCCGAGGGCGGCCGGGGGTGCCCCCCATGCCCCGACGCCGGCTCACGAGCCCGCCCATGCGCCTGCCCCAACATACCTCCCTCCTGCTAGAGGCTCCTACATGGGTCCGAGTAGATGGGCTTGGAGGATCGCGCCGCATCGCCAGGGCATCGCCGAGGCGATGCATCGGCGATGCATGTGCGACGTCGCTGGTGTATCGGCGAAGTCGACGCTGAGACTTTTGGGCTCCACATCGAGCAGCATCGCCGATGCATCGGCAATGCGGCACGAACCTCCGACCCCATCTACTCGGACCCCATCTGGAAGGCCCAGACCTGCTGGGCCCGTCTGACCTGGCTTGTCCCACGCCACCCCTGCCCCTCTCCAAACCTGAGATCCGACGTTGCCACCTCGCGAGAAATCGCGACTGGAGCCCTAGACCCCGTCTTTCTGCTGCATTGTTCGAGTCGGATCGATGCCCGAACAGATTGCAACGCTCGGATCTCGGGTACCGATACCGCTAATCCCTGGACCTTTCCAGGGGTGCGCATGACCAGGGCTTCGAGGCGAATCCAGCCGTGGAAGCGAGGGAAGAGTAGAGGTATCGGTCTCCCTTCCTCCTCTGGCCTTCCTCCCTCCTGCAGGGCTGGTCCGACCAAGCTTACCCAACGCAGCCCGTTCCGCTGTCCAAATTCATCTCCGAAATTCATGTTCTATGAGTTCCAATAAGGGTCGTTACCCGAAGGGGGTTGGGGCCCCCGGGTAGCGGGTACGCTAGGGCGGGGCGGGGCACGCTTCGACCCCCAGAACATGCGCGCGATCACCAACACGGCACGGGGGGGGGCAGCCCCCCCCCTGCGTATGATCGTTACCGCTACCCCGGGGTGGGTGGGCGGGGTAGCGAACGTTGCGCGACAGAGTACAAACAAAAAACAAAACTCCAGAGAGGAGAAGGACTCCTCCTCCTCCTCCTCCTCCTCCTCCTCCGCCTCCTCCTCCTCCTCCTCCTCCTCCTCCTCCTCCTCCTCCGACTCCGCCTCCGCATCCGCCTCCTCCTCCTTCACGCGGAGGAGGGCAGCAGAAGCAGCCGCCGCCGCAACAGGCGCAGAAGGACCCCCGTGAGGAGCGGGCTCGTGCTACGCTCGAGACGCCGAAAGAAGGACCATTCCCCCCTCCTCCTCCTCCTCCCTCCTCCTCCTCCTCCTCCTCCCTCCTCCTTCCTCCTCCTCCTCCTCCTCCTCCTCCTCCTCCTCCTCCTCCTCCTCCTCCTCCCTCCTCCTCCGCCGCCTCCGCCTCCGCCTCCTCCTCCCTCCTCCTCCTCCTCCTCCTCCTCCTCCTCCTCCTCCTCCTCCTCCTCCTCCCCCTCCTCCTGCTCTCGGGAGGGGCAGACTTCCGGGCACCTTGGGCCAGAGGGGCACTCCTGGCCGCACCCGGCTCCACAGCTCCCGCCCGTGCCCCCAGCCGAAGCCTGGGCTCCGCCCACAGGACCCGAGCCCGCCGGCCCCCGGGGGCCCGCCCACGAGCCGCGCGCGGGGCCGAAGTCGAGAAGGCCCGGGTCGAGAGCGTCGGCGGTGGGCAAACCTCCCTTTAAAAAAACCTCCCCGTAATGAAAACGGCCTGGGACCGAAACCGACGGGCATGGACCCGCAAAAATGGCGGCCGAGACGCCCTCTCGCGAGCCGAGAAGGGCCCATTCCCGAATCGAGGTGTCATGGTGGGAGGTCTGTCCACCTCCGAAAGAGTCATACACGTCGGTCGGAAGAAGTACAGTCGGGCTTGATTGAAGAGGACACGCGAGAGGACGCGAGACCCCTCCGAGGGCCGCGTTGCCAGGGAAAGACAGGAGACACGGGTCGCAATGCACGGGACCCGAGGGTGCCCTTGCTCTTGCAGGGTCGACCTACTAATCCGGGCCGCCTGTAGGTAAAAACACGGTGTACGAGGGCGTTGAGAGTAGCCTGGGTTCCGTCCGCCCCCTCAAGAGGACTGGGTTCCGTCCGCCCCCTGATGGCTTTCGGGTCACAACTCTGCGCTCCCCCGCGGCCGTTCGGGACGATCCAGGCAGCCCCGGAACGCCCTCGGCGCGGCGCGGCTGCTGGAAGGCACCCCGGAGGCTTGAAACAGCCGCCGAGAACCGACGAAACCCTTACAAAACCCCGAACCCCCTACGCCTACATGTCGGTCGGAAGAAGTAGGTAAAAACATAAAGTAGGAAGGCGGATAAAGAAGGTTGGGCCCAGGCCCTCCCAAAGAAGCACAAAGCACAGTAAAAAACAGATCGACTCTTGAAGCAGAAAGGCGCTTTTGAAATAGATTGGGATCTGGGTATCCGACAAAAATACATACTTCCAACGACCGGCTTGTGTCGTCAGAGATGACCCGTCCCCCATCTCCAGAGTTTTTTTTTCCGGCGGGTCAAAGGAGGGGGTCCTGAGCGATGGGGTCCTGAGGACGAGGTGCCTCAAACGACGTACAGTAGGAGCTCGAACACAAGAAACCTCCCACAGGCATCGGCCAACAGGCATCGGTGCCCCATCCCTCAGGATCTCATCTACGCCACGGAAAACATGTGTATATATGAAAGAGCGTGTTCTACCGCTGCTGGCGGAAAACCGGGGGGGGTCACTACCGGTTCGAACCCCTCCCCCCCCCCCCCCAGCTCATCATGAAAAGGGGGGGGGTCACTACCGGTTCGAACCCCTCCCCCCCCCCCCTCGAAAACCGGGGGGGGTCACTACCGGTTCGAACCCCCCCCCCCCTCGAAAACCGAGTGGGGGTGCGGACAGTGGTGGGGACGGTGTTGGTGGGGACAGTGGTGAGGGGATAGCGGGACAGTGGTGGGGACAGTGGGACAGTGGGACAGTGGTGGGGACGGTAGTGGTGGGGACAGTGGTGGGGACAATGGTGGGAACAGGGGGGGACAGTGGACAGTGGTGGTGACGGTGGTGGTGGGGACAGTGGTGTGGGGACAATGGGAATGAGGTGGAAACAGTGGGACAGTGGAGGGTACAATGGTGGTGGGGACAGTGGTGAAGGCGGTGGCGAGGACGGCGGTGGGACAATGGGACAGAGGTACAGTGGGGACAGTGGTGGGGACAGTGGGGACAGTGGTGGGAACAGTGGGACAGCTCAGTGGGACAGCGGAGGAGTCAGTGGGACAGTGGGGACAGTGGGGATAGTCGGGCAGTGGTTGGGGCCGTGGAGACAGTGGGGAGAGTGGAACCGTGGTGGGAACAGTTCTGGGGACAGCGGGGACAGTGCGACAGTGGTGGGGGCACTGGTGGGGACAGTAGGGGCGGTGGTGGAACCAGTGGGGACAGTGGTGGTGAGGACAGTGGTGCTGGGAACACCAGTGGGGGATGTGATGCGGACGGACGGTGTGGGGACCGGGAGTCGTTTGCTGGCGGTGAGTAGGGGGGGGGGGGGGGAGGGTTCGAACCGGTAGTGACCCCCTCCGGTTTTCCGGATCCGGAGGGTAATAAGGGAAGGGGGGGAGGGGTTCGAACCGGTAGTGACCCCCCCCTGGTTTTCCGGATCCGGACGGGGGGGGGAGGGGTTTCGAACCGTAGTGACCCCCCCCCGGTTTTCGAGCGGGAGGGGGGGGGGGGGGGGAGGGGTTAGAGGGGGGGGTTTTGCCGGGGGAGAGGGGGGGAGGGAGGGGTTCCAGCAGGGGGGGGGGGGGGGATTTTCGGAGGGGGGGGGGGGGGGCGACCCCCGGGTTCCGGAGGAAAAGGTTGGCAATTTTCCACAGGAAAGCGGCGGTGGATCACGCTCTCTCGTATATATGTGTATATACACAGACAAGCTCCGACGAACTTTGCATGTACGTTCAGGGAGGGGACGGTGTCTAAAGTCGCAGATCCCCAGTGGTGATCGATCTGTGCACCGCCAACCTCCCCTGAGGCCCAGGAACACTTCAGTGGAGGGCGTCAGCTTATAAAACAGATTGGGCTCAGGCCCTCCCAGAGATTGCAACGAAGAACAGCAAAAAACACATCGACTCTTGAAGTACGAAGGCAGACGCTTGAAGTAAATTGGGACTTGGGCATCCAAACAGACCTTCTGTCAACGGCCAGCGGGCATCGTTGCCCGATCCCAGTGGACCCCATCTACGCCATGAAAATGTATACACAAACACCACGCGACGAACACTGCACGTACCTTCAGGGAGGGACGGTGTATAAAGCCGCCGGCTCCCAGCGGTGATCTATACACCGCCACCCTCCCATGGGGCCCAGGAACAATCCTGTGGAGGGTGCCTGTGTATATATTTTGTGGCGGACCTCTATTTTACATTGGCGCCGTGGTGTGCACGGGCGCTGTGGTGCCCGCAGGCACTGTGGTTCACACAAGTGCTGTGGCACCGATCGCCACCTACATGCTGTTCCTACTCGTCTTTAGTCCTCCCTAGGCATTCCCAAACGCCGCCGGAGCGAAACGTGACGTCACCGGCCCCTCCCCCAACCAACGTGTCCGCCGTCATCGCCCCGAATGAAATCAACAGGCTCCTGGGCATCCAGAACAATATAGTTCCAACGACCGACGGGTCTCGTTACCCGACCCCGGTCTTCGGGCCTAAACGGTAAACCCGTTTCGGCTACGGCCGGTTCGGGTCCCTCCACTGTCTTGGCCGCGCCAGGGTGTGGAGGGGGGGGTCTGGCTTCGGCCAGGCTCATGGGGAGTCCTGCTCTGTCGTCCCTGGACATGGGGACTGGGGGGAGCAGGCCAGGGCACCCGCCCCGGGACTCGCACCAAGTGCCCCGCCTGGTGGCGAGGGGTGTCCTGTGTCCCTGGCCAGTGCCTGGAGTGCCTGGCGGGTGGCAGGGGGGGGCCCTTCCCCTCGGGGGGGGGTCGGTCCTGGAGGCGTTGGACGTGCACGTGCACCTCTGAGTTCCACTCCCCTCCTAGGCCGTTCGAGGTTTGCAGCGACCGAGGTGCACCAGGTCACTCCCAACACACTGCACATGCCCAGGCAGTGCTGGGCTTCTAATCAATATCACTACGTGATGGCGGAAATCCTGGAAATCCTCCTCCTCCTCCTCCTCCTCCTCCTCCTCGTCCTTGAGCCGCCCGTCCCTCGAGGCGGGGCCCCCCCTGGCAGCAGTCCTCGCCGCCCGCCGCGTCCGCGAGGCGGGCGGCCACTCCGCCAGCGGCGCGCGCGGGGGCTGTCCGCGGCGCCCGCGGCGGGGGCGCGCCGGGCGGGGCCTGCGGGTCCGCCCCCCCCCCCCCCCCCTCCTGGAGCGCCGCCGCCCTGCTGGACCGGCGCGCTCCACTTGAGTGGGCCCTGGAAACGACAGGGCCGTTTTTTTTACGGGTTCCGGTTTGCCGTTTCTTTTTGTTGCCGGTTCCGACGCCGTGTTTGTTACCGGTTCCGTCGCCGTCCCTGTGCATCCCGGAGACACAGAAAACTAAGTTTAAGATAAGTTTAAGAATCTATGTTAAGTTCAATGTAAGTTAAGTTCAACCCACCCCAAATCTAAGTACACTAAGTACAAACTAAGTTAAGTACAAACTAAGTTCAAACTAAGTTCAAACGAAGTTCAAACTAGGTACAACATCAATTAAGACCCAACGTAAAAATAAGTTCGCCGTCGAACAGAACTCAGATGGACGTACTCAGAAATTGGGGTGGGTTGAACTTAACTTACATTGAATTTAACATCGGTTCTCAAACTTGTGTTAAACTTTCCTCCTCCTCCTCCTCCCTTTCCTCCTCTTGTCGCCCTCTTTGGGCCATCCAGCGTCCCCCAACGCTCTCTCTGGGCAATCTCGCTGGGTTGCGTTGGGGCCCCTTAGAGGGACCATCGGTGACCGCCGAAACCCGATCAGCAAATTGCGAGTTGTCTCTTGAGCCCGCGCAAAGCCCGCAGGAGAAGGAAACACCCCCGCGCGAACCCCAATGAACGCCTGCCCCATACATGTTTCCCACCATGCATGTCATGTTAAGCATCATCCGCGGGGTATCCTTGGGTTTCCAGAGGTCCCCACGCGGGTTCCCCATGTGAATCCCGACGGAAATTTGGCAGGCGGATTTGGCGCGAGCCATTCGAATAGTCAGAGGAGGAGTTGGGGGAGGACGAGGAGTAGCAGCAGGAGGAAAAGCAGGAGGAGGAGGAGGAGTGAAGAGGAAACGACGAGCACAGTCCAACGTTTGGTCAGGGTGGCGAAGTCACGCTCCACAAGGCAATTGTTGCAGGGTGGCTAATTCAGCGATCGTGCTTTTAGACACGGATTGGTAAAGGAGTTTGACAGGAGAGTGTATTGCAGCGTAGTTGACGCATATTTCGTTTGACATGGTCCTTATCATCCTAATCACACCCTACTTCACTTTAACAATTATGTTGGCCGACTTGTGCATGGACGTGTCGCCTCACTCCTCCTGCATCCCTCGTCGTCCTCCTCCTCCCTCCTCCTCCTCCTCCTCCTCCTCCTCCTCCTCCTCCTCTTCCTCATGCTCTTACTGCTGTTTGCGCTGTCCATCTTTAGCTGTCGTCACGTTTCGTTTGTGTTCCTGGGACGTGAATCGGAAGGAAGCCTCGAGCGGAAGCCCCTGCCTGATTGCATTTGGTTCGGGTGGAAATTATGTTACCTCTCTTACTCGCGTTCGGTGTTCATTTGTGGTTGTTGTGATGTGTGCTGTTCTGTTGTTTTGATTTGTTTTTTGTTTTTTTTTTCTGTTTTTTTTCTGACCACGCTTCATGGCCGATTGGGTGCCACATGTTCGCACGATGTGCTGGCCCGCACAACATCATGATCACATAATCACTCGAGAGTCAAGCCCCATCGGTACTTGTGAAGAACTGTGTTGGGCACCTTATGCATCTTCGTTCCTGCAACGGATTTACCTGCAACTTTTTTCATGTGTTTAACGAAATCCTCATCTATGAACGTAGCACCCCTTCTTATACTCAAGAAACGTGCGCGATACGCCATGTGCCACATCCAGTGCAGCTTGGGCGCTGGAGTGAACAATATCATATCCATTCGTTGGCTGGCATTTGTAAGCCAGCAATATGTAAAGCAGAACTTATTCGCTGCAGCCAAACACTCTATCGCAATATCGTCGGGCATGAACATATCGTGTTTATAGTCGTCTATATAGAGTTGCACTTGCGCCATGTAGTTTAGTGACTCCGAAATCTTATCGTAAAACATGCCATGTCTTTTTAATCGATGCCATATTGCCTGCAGGGGTAGAAGGAGCGATTTGACCTCGCAACCCTTTCCCTTGAGCTTGGGGGCGTGATCCGCGTGTGCTGTCGGGTCGATGAACGATGATATTTGGAGCTTTGTGAACTCTGTGCCACTAGGATAAGAAGCATAGTCGTTCAATATCATTCTCCACACCCGCTCGAAATTGGCCTCTGGTGAGCCCTCAAGACAATGGTACGTCAGTAGCCACAATATGCTCCCGAAGTAATATTGTAAAACTCCGAGGTGTAAAATATGGAGCTCATCCGCTTCCAGATTGTGATTTGTCAGAAACTCAAACTCCTGGAATAGTTTGTGGAGAGAAGGCTTGCCTGCTCTCCACTGTGTTGGAGTAAGCAATTTCGTCTTCCACTCAGCCGCCTCCGAAAAATTAGTAGGCCACATTGATTTGCGTAACAACCTATCGCACGGGCAAAATTCGCATGGGTCTGTTTTGTTGTAGCTCTTGAGGCCAAGTCCTTTCGCGAACCAATCAAGACCACCTTTGATCGACCATATCACAGCAAAGAAATCCTCTTTTTCCGAACATAGGGGTCGCCCAGCAATCATACCGTCGCTCGAACGTGGGTCCCACTCGTCGTTGTTCCAACCCGTCTGAGGAAATCGCCCGTCGTACAGTGCCTTCAAAGACCAACATAGATGCTTCCATATTGTTTGAGATGTATTTTCGATCCCTGGCACGCCACTCACTTTATTGTTTTCAAACATCGAGAACATCAAGATCTTAACTCGCAGGGTCGGCCCGTTGGCTAACAGTGATTGTATTGAAATGCACTCCAAGCTCTCCGTGCCAGGCTTCCCTACTCGAACCACAGGTACGGCGTCGCCGTGGAGGCTCAACGGTATGCACCGTTGAGCCCAGTCCCGCTTGTGACACATAGGATGGCGTTGAATCCGTGGGTCCCGTCGACGAACAACCTCATCCCAAAACTGTTGCAACGACTCTTTTGTGCCATTTGGCCCAAGAAATTTCTCGTCGAACCGATCCCTGTCGTGCCTGAACATATGCGAAAACGTGACGTGTGGGTCTAACATGTTCGCGCCGAAACTTTGAATCGTAGCTTGCGTCCCTCTAGCTTTTGGGACCTTCACCCGAACTTGAAACTGTCTTGGGGGAGGAACGGACGGTTCACCAATCCATCTTCTGAGTTCTGAAGAAATGTTGCCTTTATACCGACCCCACGTTCCCAATGAAGCAAGGTGCCGAATTGACGATGGAATGCTGTCCGTCGAAGATCCGAGTGTCTCGCACATGTTTTTCATGTCGTCGTATGCGGCGGTGGCTGTCGACTGCATCTCAAGTGCGCTGACGTGCCCCCATGCCCATTGCCGAATCAACCTCGTGGCTAACACAGAATCGAACCGATCGGGTGTGGAACCGATGGACGCGGCCGCGTCGCGGCCAGAAACATCATCTGCCTGCAGTTCGAGCTTCCGTTTTTTCTGCTGCCTGCCACCCATGTACACTGCATCGCGTCTGGATGTGAATTAAAATGTGCAATATTGTTATGGCTGATTTGATCCAAAATGTCAACGGAGAAACGTGAGGACCGTGAGGAACCGACCCACTTCCCAACCGAAATCAAGTGTCACACTTAGGATCTACTGTGGCCTGAAACATCCGCACATCTTCGGGTCAATGTCGGGCCCCCCCCTTGCACATCTTCGAGCCAACGTCGGCACCGTCGCACATATTCGGGCCAACGTCGGGACCCCCGCCTGCGCATCTACGAGCCAACGTCGGGGACCTCGCGCATCTTCGAGCCAACGTCGGGACCCCCTCCTGCATCTTCGATGCCAACGTCGGGCGCCTGGCGCATCTTCAAGCCAACGATGAGATCCTCGCACATCTTCGAACCAACTTCGGAACCCCCATTCCCCCCCCCCCACTCCGAAAATTTAGCCAGCAGGCGGGGTCTCACCATCCCCGCTCCCTGTAACTGCTGGCCTAACTTTCAAAGTGGGGGAAGGAAATGCAATGTCAGATATGTTGTCAGGACCCGCCCTCCCGCCCCACACTCCGAAAACTGTGACAGCAGGCGGGGTCTCACCATCCCCGCTCCCTGTGGCTGCTGGCCCTGTCTTCGGAGTGGGGGGAGGAAAGGATAGGCCAACCATAGCGTCGGAATATACAAACATATTCGGGCGAACGTTCCTGGTCATCTACCTCTGCTCTCTCATGCTTCGCATCCGTATCAGAAGGGGGAAGGACTGACTTGTGTGAATGTGGTTTTGCATTTTGCGCATGTGCAACATATAGCAAGATCACGACGTGGTAATCGCAAACGTTCTGGTCGTCCACAAAAATTGTAATCGGTGTCTCTTCCTCTGAACCAACACGCATTGTTTGTTTTCACATTAGTGTTTGCATGCGTATGGTTTAGACACGTTCAGTATCATAGCGCTGTAGATCTGTTGTAGACTTGTTGTAGATTTTGAAATCTGCAACACATCTACAACATATATGTTGTAGATTTGTTGTAGATTTCAAAATCTACAACAAATCTACAACACATCTACAACTCCAGTAATTGAATATACCGCGAATTCACACACCACGATATAAATTGATATCCAACGTGACTAAGTTTTGTAATCGTGATATACAGTTTGAATCTTGTGTCCAGGTTTGCTTGACATGTGTCTTATTGTAGTGGTGGTCGTGCGTGCGTGCAATTCGTTCGGTGTAATTGTGAGGTTTGTGCACGTGCGTGCGATGCAACCTTGTTTGTGGTGGAGGGTGTATTTCCATTCTCTATCGGTGCGTCACTCAGACTGCTCGGCAACCCGCACTCGCAACCCCTGCGAGCATGGCCAGCATTGCCCAGAACAGAACTAAAGACCGAGCCTCACGAGAGCCCCTTCTTGAAGTCCAGAGCAGATGCTTTGGAGCAGCGGTTCTCCGAGATGTGGCGCACGAGGTCCTCCATGTGCTTCTCAGCGTTGGGTCCGTAAGTCGAACGTTTGATCGTTGCCGCGTGGATCCGCTTCTG